AAAAAAACATTTTTTTTTTTTTTTTTTTTTTTTTGTGAAGCCGAACCAAACTGCTTGATTTAGTTTGGTCTGGATATTTTGTCCACCCCTACTTAAAAATAAAGAACCGTTGAAGGTCATAGTTATTCTTTGGCATGCCACATCATGATTTCTTTTCCACCTTGTCTCCACACAATATATTGCTATTAGAGAGTCATAATGAGGTTTCCTTTGCTTAGACATCATATTGGCCTTGTGTTCAAATATGGGAAGACACAAATCGTAATTAGCAGCTTTAATACTACGAGCATGATTAAGAAGTGATTATAATTAATCAATTGCGATCAAACGTAATCTTATACCCACATTTCATGGGATCCACAACTACTACCCATTTATTATCCACACATGATTTCATAGGAGCCATGGCTTATAATCACTTAAATGTTAATCACTATCCAAACATACACCAATGAAGCAAAAGAGTGAAATTTGCATTCTCGGGGAGAAACCATTTCTTATATATAAATGCCACGTGGGACATGAAGAAGTAAAAAAATTTTTTTTTGCTCCTTGATATTGTCCTTCGATGACCTTTGTCTCCTTATAGGTCATTTTACCTTGTCTGATGAGTTCTTGAACTTCTTTTGTTTGGAGCTGATTCTCATCAACCATTTTCTGATTTCTTCCTTTCTTATTTCTCCATGTGAGTATGGTGCATCTACATTTTGTATGTTCTTTTCTTATTTTCGTATTCTTTGAGGAATGATCTTACTCATGGAGACGTATAAATCAAATTATAGTTATTCGTCTTGACGATGGCATCTGGCGGTTAATTGTAATAACAGACTCATTCTCTACCATCTTAATGCAATTTTGGATGTTAGGTATTATTTTCTGTAACTCTATCTTTATTTCTGTTTCAGCGATCCAGCGACAACTCATCATATATCAGTAAAGACACTGGGACTCTGGTATGTAATGTAAATTTCCTTTTTTCCTAATGAATGAGATTTAAGATTAGAAAATGAGAATGTGAAAAAGAACTCATGAAATTAGACCTGAAGTCTGTTCTTTTTAAATATAATTTTTTCTTTTGCACAATAATCATACTTGTTACTCGTATTTGCAGTTTGTCTTCTTAACTGGTGGAATTGTATTTCTTACGCTTATCGTGAATGGATCAACAACACAATTTGTTTTACATCATCTTAATTTGGATAAGCTAACAGCGGCTAAGGTAACCCTATTTCTGTTCTCTTGATGCTTAATTTTGCAGTTTTTGAATTGCAAGTTTCATGGTTACACGTCTTGTCCAAATAAATTTGTGCAAACTTACCTGTTTTCCACTGCTCGGGGTCAGAGTCTAAAACCCAAAATCATTATGAAGTCACCCCTCTTCCATCTACCCTCCTCTCTCCGACTTATCAGATTGTATTTGATTCTCAGCATTCTAAACAAATTTCTGATCTGCTCTCAACCACTCAAGTCATGGTTAATAGAGCAGTGCAATAAGTTATTCATAATCAGTCATATATGGCTTTCGGCATTATCATTGCAAGTATATAATGATTTTGAGAGATTCTTCTGTTCAATTATGGTACCTTCTTTCTCTCTCTTAAAACAATTTTCATAAAACATATCTAGATAGATCGAGTAGTCTCAAGACTACAAACTAATGGGGCTATTTACAATTTCGAATATGAACAAAATCATGATCAGAACATTCAGCTGCTTTAACTAAAGAGCATTTTGATTCCTGGCTATTAAAAACAGAAGAATTTTGGATATTAGTGAACTTAAGATATTACATAGGACAACTTCACTTATTGAAATTTTGTCTTCAACGTTTTATGGCCATATTATGTAAAATCCCAAAAAGAGAGAAAAAATTTATAGAATAGAATTAATTGTTCTAGATGTTATATTTTATATTTTTAAAAGTTAGAAGGATGAAAAACACCAATAGTTGAAAGGCTTGGAAGCTTTCTTTGTTTTATTGTGTATTATACAACCAAAATTACATAATTTTATAGTACACAAACGGTATTAAAAAGGAAAAAAAACAATAATCTAAATTTGCTAACCAATCTCCTACAATCACTCCTAATTACAAGTTGCCTATGTAGGCACGGTTACTTAAGGAATGTAGAATATTTCCATATTCTCAAGATTTCAACACTTCTCCTCAAGTTGGATCGTAGATATTGATCATATCCAACTTGTGAGTGAAATCATCAAATTTTTGTCGAGATAGTCCTTTGGTAAAGATGTCTGCAATTTGTTCCTGTGTAGGAACATACGTCATGCAAACAGTCCCTCCTTCCACCTTTTCTTTGATGAAATTCTGTCCACCTCTACATTTTAGTTCAATCATATTGTATCGGGTTGAGAGAAATATTGATGGCAGCTTTGTTATCACAATATAGTTTGATTGGAAATTTCGTTGTCACATGTAGCTCTTCTAAGAGTTTCTTTAACTACAATCCCTCACAAATGCCTTGTGCTACTGCTATAAAATCAGTTTAGGCACTACTTCTGGTTACTATATTTTGCTTTTTTGCTTCTCCATGTTACCAGATTTCCCCATACAAACATGGAATATCTGATAGTCGACCTTCTATCTTCCATGGAACCTGCTCAATCTGCATTTGTGAAGACTTCTACACCTTTTCTTTCACCTTTCTAGAAGAACAGTCCTCTTCTCGACGATCCCTTCAAATATCTAAGTACTTTGCAAACCGCTTCAAGGTGAATATCTTGGGAGAGCACATATGTTGACTTATCATACTAATTGCAAATGCAATGTCTGGCCTAGTATGTGACAGATAGATGAGTTTACCTACTAGTCGTTGGTATCTGTCTGTGTCTATGGGATTGCCAACATTTTCGATTTTCTTACTTGCTTCAATTAGTGTATCACTTGGTTGACATCCAAGCATTCCAGTTTCGGCGATGAGGTCAAGGAGATGTTTTCTCTGCGAGACCCTAATTCCCTTTTTTGATCTCGCTACTTCCATTCCTAAGAAGTAACGCATTTGTCCCAAATCTTTTACTTCGAATTCGGTGGCTAAATTCTTTTTAAGTTTCTCCATTTCTACTCTGTTGTCTCGTATGAAGATTAGGTCACCAACATATACAATCAAAATTGTTTAGTCCCATCAGCAAATTGTTTGAGGAACATAGTATGATCTGATTGTCTCTGTTGGTACCCTTGGCTCTTCAGTACCTCTGCAAATTTGTAAAACCATGCTCTGGGTGACTGCTTAAGCCTATACAAAGACTTTTTGAGCTTACATACTCAATTCTTCTCATTTTCCTTGCAAAAGCCAGGTGGTAGTGTTATGTAAACTTCTTCTTCCAATTCTCCATTTAGAAATGCATTCTTGATGTCTAGTTGTTGGGGATGCCAACCAAATTTGCTGCTAATGACAAAACTACTCGAACTGTGTTCAATTTTGCCACAGGTGTAAATGTCTTCGTGTAGTCAATGTCATAAGTTTGTGTATCTATGAGCAACCAGTTGAACATTATATCGTTCTACAATCCCATCAACTTTACATAAGTTGAAGACCTATTTGCATCCCACTAGTTCTTTTCCTTTGGGTAAATCCATTACTTCCCAAGTATCACTTTTTTTTCAACGCTCGCATTTCATCAAGGTGAGATGTAAAGCTGCGGAATCTTGTAGATAGAGTATTATACGATACAAACTTTGAGATAGGATGAAAAGTATATGACCGAATTTGTTTTCTAAGTGCGATTGGTATGATTCTAGAACACTTGTGGTGTCGTGGGGTTCTGGACCTTCCATTGGTTCCGACTCTCTTGGTGTTTCGGGGTTGAAGTTCTCTTTGTGTCTCTCTTTTCGTTTCCTTGAGTAAATAAGTATTTCCTTGATGCTTAGTTTTTCTGCATCTAACTCTAAGTTTAAGTTCCCTCTTGTAGATGGCATGGAAGAACTAGGTGGTGTGATGGGTATTGAGCTGGACTCCAGAGGAAGTTCTAAGTTTATGCACCGATCTTCACTTGCATTCTCCCCTTGAAGAGAGGTTTTGTGGAAATATGGGGTATTTTCAAAGAATGTGACATCGAGGCTGACAATGACTTTCTTTGTAGAGAACATTTGTATCCTTTTTTATTAGGAAAATATCTGAGAAGAACACATTTAACTGCTCGAGGATCTAATTTATTTCGGTTGTCAAGATGAACAAAAGCATTACAACCAAACACCCTGAGGGATAAGTTTGAGATGAGACGAGAGTTCAGAAAGAATTTGTGGAATTTGTTAAGGGGTGATTCGAAGTTCAAGGTACGACTAGGCATTCGATTGATTACGTAGGCAGAAGTTAAGATATCATCTCCCCAGAATCCTTCTGGCATGTTTGCAGTAAACATTAAGGCTCGAGCAACCTCTAGAAGATTTTTTTTTTTTTGTTCGGCAATTCCGTTTTGTTGGGGAGTTTCAACACAAGAGCTTTAGTGGATTATCTCATTTGTTTAAAGAAAGTCTCCCCAATTTTTGTTAAAGTATGTGCTATTGTCAAAGGATTTGAATATGTGTTTGAAATTGGGTTTGTATCATAGAGTGAAAATTGATAAGCACTGTATGAACGTCTGATTTTTCTTTTAAGAGATATACCTAGCAAATTTGAGTGTAATCATCAATAAATGTGATAAACCATTTCGTGTGGGTACAATTAAGAATTCATGAAGGACCCCATACATCACTGTAGATCATAGGGAATGGTTTCATTGGTTTATATGTGGATTTTAGGAATGATGTTCGTTGACGTTTAGCAAGTTCACAGAATTCGCATTGAAGATTGACCAATTTTTTATTTGAGAAAATATTGGGAAATATATGTTTCAAATATTGAAAATTGGGGTGTCCCATTCTAAAATGCCACAACAAGGCTTCACTATCACTAGAAATAAATGCAGAATTACAAATGGCAATTTGATGTTGCTTACTTGTATTTAACCTGTGCGGGTAACATTAGAGTTAAAATTGCAGTTGAGGAAAATAACTTGTAGGTTCCCATCATGTGATCGGACGATCTTGAGTCAATGATCTAAGGGGTTTTAAATTTTGATGTAGCTGTTAAAGCCTTTAAATAATTACCTCTATGTCCTAGCGAGCATAAGGGACCATTTTGGGAAGATTGATCAGACGTTTGAAGACTTGAAAATTTTTTGTAGAGCTGCTCTATCTGTTTAGGATTGAAGCCATTTCTTTTTGTAGGGATTTTTATTTCATGCTCGACTGAAACTTGGTAGCCTCGATTTTTATTATTCTACCCCGATTTCTAATGAGTTGATTTTCCATGTAAATCTCAATAGGTATCCTCCTTGTGACTTGGTTTACGGTAATCTTCACACCAAGGATGACCTTTTTGTTGGTCGGTACCTGGCCCATCTATTTGAAGAGTAGCCCATACTACCGGCCCAATCAACGCTTTATTCTTCCCTTCGGCTCAAATTTAGGAGGCCCAAATCTTTTACTCACCAAGGTCGACATCTCGTCTTCGTCTCTTCCACTATTCATCATTACTCTTCTTCAGCTTTCTTCTCGACAAAATTCTAAGAAGACTTCCTGCGTGAAGGTAGTGGTCGTCGGTCGAGAACCTCTCCCTGATGTCATCGAAGCTCCGGTGCAGTCCAGCCAAAAATTCGAAGACCCGTTCATTTTCTAATTTATTTTTGGTAGCGAGCGCAGTCACCAGGGTAGTCCCATTCTTCCTCTGTACTCAAGTCGAGTTCCTGCCACAATGCCACCATCTCCATGTAATACTCAGTTACTTCCCTATCTTCTTGTTTGGTCTGCCAGAGTTTGCTCTTAATTTCGAAAATCTATGAGGAATTTTCAGTCATAGTAGGTCTCTCGAATGGCATCCCAGACGTCTTTTGCTGTTGGGAGGAATAGGTAAGTTTTTTTATGGAAGGTATCATCGAATTCACAAGCCACGCAGTCACCAAAGAGTTTTCCGATTTCCATCTTTGCAAACGGACAACGTCGATTGAGGCAGGCTTCTTTGTTTCACCAGTCAGGTAACCCAACTTCCCCTTCCCATCGATCATGAGTTGATGGATTGGGTCCATTCTCTGAAGTTTTTTCCGTCCAACTTTTCCTGCATGAGTTGGAAGGACGAGTTGTCAATTCCTCCCTAACAAACTGTGGGATGGCTTCTGTTTCACCATCATGTGATTCGGACGTCATCAACGCCTTACCAGTATTGA